GAGACGGCGGACGGAGCATGCGCACGGCCCTTTCCCGGCGGAAGCTTGCGCCGCCATCTTGAATGAGGGCAGCCAACCTCCTCGGCTGCCTTCGCGGTGTCTCTCTGCTGCCCGCGCGGAGGTGAAGAAGTCGGCACCCAGCCTGGCCCGCAGGAAAGGAATGGGAGTGAGAACGACGCTCATCGATCGCAGATTCGGTGCCAGGAAGCAAAATGGAGACACTTGTTTCCACTGACCTTCTGTCGCTCGCTTTAGGCCGCGGGAACGCGTAACTCTGAAAGCGACGCTGTAGGGAGCGTGGCGTTCGGGATTTCTCTTTAGCGCTGATTCCTCTCAAACACCTCTTGTCCCCAGTGCACCTGGTTTGTCCCGGTCTCCCTCCCGTCTTTGTTCAGGGCTTTCCCAGGAGAACCTGCCCAGTCCAAACCTTGCCACCGCCTCTCAACACTTTCTATTCTTAAAAAAAAAATAACTTTTTAATTACAATGGAAAAACAATATTATATATGCTTCAGGTGTACATAGTTATTAGGCATTTATATAATTTGTGAAATGATCATCCCATAAATCTAGTACTATCCTCTTTACCTGCCTTTTTCTCCTTAACACTTAGGACCGACTTGCAAACTAAATTTATGTACTTATTTTATTGTCTTTTTCTCCGTGAAGACAAGTCCTGTGTTTTGTTCAAGGCTCTAACTCAGTGGTTCTCAACCTTGGCTGCACATTAGAATCACCTGGTAATCTTTTTAAAATCCTAATTTCTGGGCCTCATCCTCCGGAAATTCTGTTTCTTTGTTACTAATGTTGTGGCCTCACCCCATAACAAAGAAACAGAATTTCTGGAGGATGAGGCCCAGAAATTAGGATTTTAAAAAGATTCCCAGGTGATTCTAATGTGCAGCCAAGGTTGAGAACCACTGCAAACTCCTAGAACAGTGTGAGCGCTCAGCAGGGCAAATTTATGCAGTGTTGAGGGGCCACAATAGTTTTAGGGGCCCAAGAAAATGTGGGGTTTTTTTCTTAATATTTTTATTGATTTCAGAGAGGAAGGGAGAGGGAGAGACAGAAACATCAATGATGAGAGAGCATCACTAACTGGCTGCCTCCTGCACGCCCCCCACTGGGTATTGAGCCTGCGACCCCAATCCAACCCTGGACCTTTCAGTCTGCAGGCCTACCCTCCATCCACTGAGGCAAACCGGCCAGGGCAAGAACGTTTTAATTTCTTTAAAAATCAGGAAAAATATGTAATAGTAGTTAATATGTAATAATGGATCCAGTCTGGATTATAGTCCTTATTCCAACAGTCATAATATATAATTTTGAATACACTTTTATGGAGGAAGGAGGCCACGAAAACAAAGTGCGTAAGGCCTACAAATAGAGCCCTGGAGCTCAGCAATGACCAAGTGGATGAGTAAACGAATAAAGAGGCCTCAGAGGTTGAAGCAGCCTAGTGGGCCCCCCTGCAATGAAGCCAGCTGCACAATCACCTCAAAATCCATCCCTCTTAGTGAAACTGCACAATCAATGAGTCTGGACTTGCCTGTCACTACTTGAGCCAATTAAGCAGAGATAGGGTTGAATCATCTATGAGCATTTATTCCAATAATGCTGGCAGTATGAGAGAGCATCAGGTCATCTACAAAATCTGCTCTGCCCCCCACCATAAGCCAGCTGCTTATATTGGATGGAAAGACAAAAATTACATAGGGAAGTAGGCAAAGAGATAAGAATGGGAAAGCAAAATGGGCAGTTTACAGGCAATGCAGGCTGGTGGTATATAAAAGGCTGGGGGTATGCAAAAGGCTAGGGATTTGCAAAGGCCTGGCATCTCTGGTTTCTGCTACAAGGTTGTTAATCTTTCCATGATAATAGGCAGCTCCTGAATGTAGAGGATGGGCCAGATTTCCAGGTGAGCTCCCAGGTCAGGTGCAACTCACAGCCAAGTTGGAATGTACTTCCTTTAATCAGAACAAAACAATCACGGTTAACAGAGCATGATTAATATTTCTTACTAGGGCCCGGTGCACAAAATTTGTGCACTCGGTGGGGTGGGAGGGTCCCTCAGCCTGGCCTGTGCCCTCTTGCAGTCCGGGAGACATCATTCGGACATCCTTAGTGCTACTGTGGAGGCCGGAGAGGTTCCTGCCACCGACACTGCACTCACCAGCTGTGAGCCCGGCTCAGGGCTTCTGGCTGAGCAGAGCTCCCCATGTGGGAGCGCACTGACCACCAGGGGGCAGCTCCTGCATTGAGATCCCTTCCTCTCTGAAATCAATAAAAAAAAATTTAAAGAGTTAAAAAAATAAATTTATGTTGGAAAATTTAATGTTTTCATTATAATCATTGTCCAAAACTTCTGTTGGAACTTCAATTTCTAAATGACTCTTGAAAGGTAATAATGGAGGCTCGACCAAGATGGCGGCATAGGTAAACACCGGAGACTGCTGCCGCAAACAACCACTTCAAAAATACAACTAAAAGACGGAACGGACATCACCCAGAACCACAGGAAGGCTGGCTGAGGAGAGACTCTTCAACTAGAAGGAAAAATAACAGCACACCGAGGCTCAGAGGAGGCGCAGTGTGGAAAATACTCAGGTGCGGAGGTGCGCGCGCAAAGCGGGCTGGTGGCTGAGAGCGCGGTTGTCGTTTTCGGTCAGGGGGGAGTCTCAGACTCTGAGCTCCAGATACGGGCGAATCGCTGGGGACTCGGACTCAAACGGGAGAAGCGGGAGTGTCTGGCATCAGTTGGAAGGCAGCTTTCTCTCTGAGGTTTGCAGCGGTTCCTGGGGTTCTGAGAAGCAGAGCCTCTGGGAACGGGACTGAGAGGGGCCATAACCGCTCCCTCCGCCCGCCCTGTTGAGCCCGCCCCGCCCAAGCCCTGCGCAGAGCCATTTGCCAGATCGCCTCAGGCAAAGGCTAGATTAGCACCTCCCCAGAGGACAGAAGTTTTCCGCGGCAGACACAGCTGATTCACACAGCCAGTCGGCCTGGTGGTCAAATCCCTCTAGTATTAACTACAACAATCAAGGCTCAACTAGAACAAGACTGCGCACAAAGACCACTAGGGGGTGCACCAAGAAAGCATAAAAAATGCGGAGACAAAAAAACATGACAGAAATGGAGGATATAGAGCTAAAAATCGCAATTTTGAGGGCTTGCAAAAATGTGCTAGAAGCTGTCAATAAACTTGAGGAGAGAGTCACGAAAACTAATGAGACCCTCGATGCTATGATAAAGAACCAACTAGAAATTAAGCATACACGGACTGAAATAAAGAATATTATACAGACACCCAATAGCAGACCAGAGGAGCGCAAGAATCAAGTCAAATATTTGAAATGTGAAGAAGCAAAAAACACCCAGCCAGAAAAGCAAAATGAAAAAAGAATCTGAAAATATGAAGATAGTGTAAGGAGCCTCTGGGACAGCTTCAAGCGTACCAACATCCGAATTATAGGGGTGCCAGAAGAAGAGAGAGAGCAAGATATTGAAAACCTATTTGAAGAAATAATGACAGAAAACTTCCCCTACCTGGTGAAAGAAATAGACTTACAAGTCCAGGAAGCGCAGAGAACCCCAAACAAAAGGAATCCAAAGAGGACCACACCAAGACACATCATAATTAAAATGCCAAGAGCAAAAGACAAAGAGAGAATCTTAAAAGCAGCAAGAGAAAGAGACTCAATTACCTACAAGGGAATACCCATACGACTGTCAGCTGATTTCTCAACAGAAACTTTGCAGGCCAGAAGGGAGTGGCAAGAAATATTCAAAGTGATGAATGCCAAGAACCTACAACCAAGATTACTTTATCCAGCAAAGCTATCATTCAGAATTGAAGGTCAGATAAAGAGCTTCACAGATAAGGAAAAGCTAAAGGAGTTCATCACCACTAAACCAGTATTATATGAAATGCTGAAAGGTATCCTTTAAGAGGAGGAAGAAGAAAAAGGTAAAGATACAAATTGTGAACAACAAACATGCATCTATCAACAAGTGAATCTAAGAATCAAGTGAATAAATAATCTGATTTACAGAATGAACTGGTGATTATAATGAATCAGGGACATAGAAAGGGAATGGACTGACTATTCTTGGCGGGGAAAGGGGAATGGGAGATGCGGGAAGAAACTGGACAAAAATCGTGCACCTATGGATGAGGACAGTGGGTGGGGAGTGAGGGCGGAGGGTGGGGCGGGAACTGGGAGGAGGGGAGTTATGGGGGGGAAAAAAAGAGGAACAAATGTAACCTGAACAATAAAGATTTAATTAAAAAAAAAAATTTGGCTCTCAAAAGAAATTTCAATCGTTGTTCTGTTGATATTTGGCTCTGTTGACTAATGAGTTTGCCGACCACTGGACTAGAGTTCCAGTGCACAAAATTCGTGCACTCAGGGGGGTCCCTGAGCCCGGCCTGCACCCTCTCACAGTCTGGGACCCCTCAGAGTCAGACATCCCTCTTGCAGTCCAGGACCCGTCGCTCCTTACTGCTCACTTGCAGTGGAGGCAGGAGAGGCTCCCGCCATCGCTGCTGCGCTCGGCAGATGTGAACCTGGCTTCTGTCTGAGTGGAGTGCACTGACCACCAAGGGGCAGTTCCTGCATTGAGCGTCTACCCCCTGGTGGTCAGTGCGCATCATAGTGACCGGTCATTCCACCATTTGGTCAATTTGCATATTAGGGTTTTATTATATAGG